ATATTTTCAGGTTCATCCTCTGTGCTTTAGAGGGCAGAGCACAGTTCTGTGTGGTTTGGTTTCCTTTTTAGTATAGTTTACAACGTGTAAGATTGTTCTTGTGCATTTAGAGCATCATTTTTAATTCAACATCCCATTGAGATGATGTTTTTGTTAATTCCTTTTAGGGACAGAAAGTTTTGATTCCCACTCTTCTTTGTGATGCTCCATTTCTGTTTATAAAAAGTAGCTTAAGTATACTTAGAAGTACACATTTTTTATTTATGACCAGCCTGTCACACATGAATTTTATAAAATTAAATTATAGTTTTATGCCTTGTTTGTGTCATAAACAAGATGCAAGCACAGGTTGTGTTAAAATAAACTTGGTTTTCCCTTTTTTTTTTCCAGTGGATAAATTGCTCTTGTCACATTCTGTTAACAATGATTGATTAGCATAGATAACAGAAAGTGAGGTAAAATAAAAAGTACTTAGGAGAATATAAGTATTTTCTTTTTTAAAAAAAAATAGTTATAGGTTTTTTGTATTTTATTTGCAGGTCATATTTGCATTCATAGTTGTCTTTCCTTTTGGTTAAGGAAGGAAGATAAAAAACTAGTTACCTGAGGAAGAACTGGAAAGGTTAATACATATTTACATAATTTCATATATGCGTAAATCTTGGTTATATTTGGTTGAATTTTTAGATTTTTAATTGATTGAAATAAAGTTATATATATTGATAAGGTAAAAGGTTTTTCCACACTATTATTTTATTTAATAAAGACAAAAGACAAAGTGAACTTATTAAAATTTTAACTATTAATACATAAAATGGTTTGTTTTATAGAACTTGGTTAACAGTTGGTCTTCCAACAAGTGGCTCTCGATGAAAACACAAACACATTACGAGAATTAATAAATCGATAATCTGAGTAATTATTAAATGTTTCCTTGGTCTCAGGTAGTTCTGATTCACTCGTAGCTTGTGCCTATGAAAAGATGAGGTGAAAATTTGACCTACTACAAATTAACCATTAAAAAAACCCGAAAAAATAATTTATTGAGTGTTGACTTGGTTTCTGTGCATATCCCAAAAGTTAAAAGAATTCCAGAGAAATTTGCTGGCAGTGTCTTCACTCCAGTCAGTGGGGGGTGGGGGGTTTGCATTCCTGGAGAAAGAGGAAAAGGAAAAGAACATATTCAACATCCCCAATCAGTTCAGAAGCAGGTAAATCTTTAGATTTTTGTTGTGCACAAAACACACCTTGTTGTTGGAATTGTAATTCCAGTTTCTCTGTATTTCCTTGCATTTTTTGCCACCTCTGTTGCAGAGCAGGAATCATTGTGCAAAACAGCAATTCTAACTTTCATTAGAGTTTTCTGTGGTTTTGTCATAGCAAATATGCCCTGGGATAAACAAACTCTCGAGTTTCTGTAAGTTTTTGGAGAGGAGTTTATTCTGTGGTAAAAGCAAGCAGCCAGCTGGGTGACAGAAATGGGGACCAGTTTCCCAAATCTGCACCCCTACTACAGGGTACATTTAGTATTTATCTTACTATAAATTAATTATTTATAGTAAGATATTAATGCATATTAATTATATGACATTAATTATATCAAATTAATTATATTTCTATAATATCATATATTATATAAATATAATATGATATATTATATATATCATATATAATTATATATATATAATTATAGGTTTTTGTTAAGTATTTAATATATGGGTTTTCCTACAGCTAAAGCTAAAGGATTATCTCTACAACCAGTCATAATTCATGCATTCTTGGACAAACAGGTGCCTAAAAGACCATATTTTATTCTTAGGATAGTAGGGAGGTTTAGTGCCCCATGACCTTGTAAGGGTGTGTTTTATTTCTTTCTGGGGGTGTAATTAAGTTTTACAATCCGTTTGTTTTATTTTGGTGTAATCACCCATTTGTTTCACGGATCACAATTATTTATTTATCACGTGCCCTTTCCAGATCCCCATATCTGGGTGAGTTATTGACTTTTGGGGCTCTTTGACTCCAGCAGGAGTTTGTTTTTCTGGCAGTAGTTTCTCTTTGTGGTTTGCAGGTGGAGTTTTGAGGTGGTTCAAGCATTTCAGAACCTTAACTTTAGCTTTTTTAAGCATTTCAGTGCACTCTTGCTCCACTTGGGAAGAGGTAAATTTGCATTTTTGCCAAAGAATATTCTTGACGCCCCACTTCCCTGGTACCATTTTCTGTCACCTTAAAAGGGGCAGCAAAGAAGAATTTTCTGCCCAACCTGTATTAATTTATCAGTGCCTGTCAGTGTCCCCCGGGAGATCAAAGCCTTTTAATGTCCAGAACATTCTGCTGTCGTCTCACCTTGGCTTAACAGATTCCCCAAGAGGACAGGAATTATTTGATACCTTTTATGTGAGGACTGCACCCAAGAGTGGTTGGAAAAACCCTCAGCAGGTTCCTCCTGTGAGTTATTTCAGCACTTAAAAACGGACTCACTCGAACAGTTAATGAAGTAACACCTTTATTAATACAAATTTGTGACAGATTGTGGGGTTTGCTGTGTCTGGAATAGGGTCTAACTGCAAAAAACCCACACTTAAACTCTGGAGTGATAATAATAGTAATGCAAAGCGTGGGCACACAGGCTAAAGCAAAAGCAACTTACAGAGAAGTGAAACAACTGACACAGAATAAGCAAAGCAAAAACCTGAAGCACACACCATAAAGCAGAAGGAACTTACAGAGAAGTAATAAGGAAAAATTTTGGAGTGCTGTGGAGCAAAAGTAAAATGAGTGTCTGTGTATAAGGAATCACTTTTGCTTGGGTCCAGTCTCTTTTTATACCTTTTTCTTTAGGCAGATGGAGTGGCTATAGTCAATAAACTCATTTTGGGGTGATAGACAGATGAAATAGGCCCAAGGGTCCAGTTCCTGGGATTATCTCCATTTCTTCCTTTTAATCCTTTTATCAGTGTCTGGGAATGTCTCCCCGGATTTTGGGGTTTTGCAGGAAACCATCAGGAGGGTTTTCTTTCTTCTTTTGTGTGGCCTTATCTGTCATTTTACACATGGTCAGCTGGCTCTTCCCAGAGCACTACCAGAGGCATCACTGCATCAATCCCTTTAAATTGTTCTTCCCAAAGCTTTTGTCCCTACAAACACCTTCTTTTCGGGTGTATTTTCCAGTCTTGTCTTTTGGTAGCCGTGACTTCTCCAGGTGTCCTGCCATACAGCCACTGGATACAGGTTCTGGAGGGGGTCCTCACAAAGACACATCATCATGGATTAATTTCTGTGTTTGCTCTTTGTAGTTATTATAGAAAAAAATCTTCTCTGGAACCACCTTCCTGTGACCAGCGAGGCCGGAGCCAGCAAGGACTGGTCTCTGTTCTTCACTTGGCCTCTGCTCAATACACCTTTCCTGGGCAGATCCCACCAGTTTCTGTATCCCAAGGAGGGAATTTTCTCTTCTGGACCAGCAGCTCCTCTTTGTCTGTCCAACAGCTGGTTCTGTCACTGACCCTTCACACCAGGCCCTTGTGTAATGCCAGGTTGAGTTTGGCTTGGATCAGTGGTTGATGAGGATTCTGTCACTGTGGTAAAGGAAGTCTGGGAGCAAAGGCAGGTTCCAGTTCATACCAGTTACAGCTCTGTGGGTTTCTGAAGCTCTGAGGTTCAGAAGTTCCCCTTTCCACCCAAAGCAGGGGAATTGGGAGGACACCACAGGTGAGACACGGAATCCTTGGCAGGTTTTAGAGTACTCTGGGCACCTCACAGGATCCACTGCAGGAGGGCTGGCCAGGATTCCTGTAACACATCCCGTTCTATGTGTGTGGAGAGAGGTGTGCAGAGGGGTTTGGGGACGTGGAAGAAGAATTCCAGGGAGACAATCTCTGTTGAATGGAGAATGTGCAAGTGGGAATTGCGTCACTGAGGATGGGTGAGGAGCGAGAGCTGCGTGGGCAGGCAGCACCCAGAGGAGTGAGGATGGAATTCTGGAGCCTGTGCACAGTTCCAGGGAGAAGCAGGCTCCTGGTCCTCAGCTGTGAGGAAGAAGAGCAGCGACACAGTGAGGAAGGTGCCTGGAATGTCCATCTTTGCCTTTCCTGAGGGAGAGTTAAACACACACACAAAGGGCAGTTTGGGTCCCACTCCCCCGTGTTTGCCTTTCAGTTCTGGAGTCAGGAGCTTGGAGGAGCTTTGCCTGCAGGTCACAGATCTCCTGCCTGGCCTGAGGAAGCTGCGGAACCTGCTCCCGGAGCACGGCTGCCTGCTGCTGTCCCCGGGCAACTTCTGGCAGAACGACCGCGAGCGCTTCAACGCCGACCCAGACATCTTCAAAACCATCCACCAGCATGAGCCAAAGACCCTGCAGACGTCAGCCACTCTCAAAGGTGAGGTGCTGCAGTGCCAGAGGAGCTGGGAGAGTCGCCCACAGATTCCATTGTTATTCCATCCTCACTAATTCCAACATCTGGGTTGCTCCAAGTGCCGATTTGGGCGGCGTTTTGTCACTCACAGCAGCTGGAATGGAGGTGCCCAATCTGTGACAGCTCTTATTTTATATCTATGTTTGAGCTCAGATTGTGGAAGATGAATAATTCACTCAGTCAGGCTCCTTTCTGCAGGTAAAAATAGCAGCTGTTTTGTTCCTCTCACTCCACCCAAGCTCCAGCCTGGCTTTTCCCTCTGTCACAGTCCCCGTTGTCAGGGATAAATGAACATTCATCCTGCTCCCCTGGGCCTTCACTGATGGTTCCCTGCACACAGCCAGAGCTGACAATGGAGATCAGAAACGTATTTTTCCTCTCTTAATTAAAAAAAACCCTTCTGACTGTGTGTGGGATCACTAGTGGCTCCATAATGCCAGAGGAAATGGTGTGTTAAATGCTGTTTCAATCCTTTGGTTTTAAAGGAACTTTGTACCTGTCAGGAAGTGTGAAATGTATAATGGGACATGTCTGAAAAGGGAGTTGTAACCTGAAGTAAGTTTGCTTTAAAGGTTATTTTTGAGCACACTGAGGATGGAGCACGTGGAGCCTGTGTGGGACCTCACTTGCAAATGAACTAGAGGGAGAATCATGGAATCAGAGAATTATTGGGGCTGGAAAAGCCCTCTGAGACCATGGAGTCCAACCATTACCCCAGCACTGCCAAGGCCACCACCGACCATGTCCCCAAGTGCCACATCCCCAGGGCTTTGAAATCCCCCCAGGGATGGGGACTCCCCCCTGTCCAGCCCCTCAAATGTCCCATACCCAGGGACCCCAAAACTGCCCTGGGACTGGAGGTGGTGCCTCAGCAGTGCTGACACAATATCTGTGATGCTCCATCTCCCCTCCCTGCCCTGGGTGTTGACCCCCATCCCTTGGTGTCACCAGAGCACCGGGAGGTGCTTCCATACAAGCAGTCAGTGATGTTCCTCACCGGGAGCACCCCTGTGCCCTCTCCTCGTGTGTCCTGCTGTCCCCTGACCTGCTGTCCCTGTGTCCTTGCAGACCTGCTGTTTGGGCTGCCCGGGAGGAGCAGTGGGGTGAGCCTGTCCAACAGGCAGCGCGTGGTGTCCTACACCGTCACCCTGGCGCTGCAGCGCTACGACTCCAGGTGAGGCACAGCCCAGCTCCCCCAGGTGAGGCACAGCCCAGCTCCCTGCATCCCACTCTGGGAAAATGGGCTGTTTGCTCCACTGAGCACTGCCCTGTTTGCCTTTAGTCTCCATTTTCCTCCTTTGGATCCTCCGAAGGAGCTGTTTTGGAAAGAAAACTCGCCGTGTTTTAAGGAGATAAAATACAATCAGTTCTCAGCTCCTCATTAAAAAATATTATCTATAATATCCAGAGATGCCACTGGGAATTCCTGTGGCATCCAGGGTCCAGTGGGGCCGGTTTGACCCAGTTCCCTGTTCACAGGCTGGTTTGCTCCCCAGTAAGCACTGGTTCCACTGGTGAAAGGGCTTTGGCAAAGCCAGCATGGATGGAGTGGATCCGAGGACTCAGTGCTGCACAGAATTCCCCAGGGGATGCCTGGGATGGAATTGGCAGCACAGGAGTCCAGAGCTGCTCTGCAGGACCCCACAGCCCCCAGGGCTGTCGTGTGGCACCTCTCCCAGCCATTTTTACACAAAATTCTGGGATTCTCTGGAAATTCTGGGAGCGTTTGAGACCATGGCGTGTCCTGTTCCCCAGGGCCCAGATTTTGGTTGATGAGCCTTTGCTTTAAGTAGATTTGGAGAGTCTGAACAGCAGATCTTGGCAGGAATCAAGGTCTGTGAGTTTGGGCCACCCAGGAACAGCCTTGGGAGTGAGACTGGAGGGAACCACGCCCTGTTGGTCCAAGTGAATCTGTGGAGCCGCTCCCTGCCGGGCTCCAGGAACTGTGTGTGGGTTCTGGGAGCAGCGTGAGGGACCTGCTCCTGCTGCTCTCCCCCTGTGCAGGTTCCTGAGCAGCCTCCGCTCCCGCCTGAAGCTGCTGCACCCCAGCCCCAACTGCTCCCTGCGGGAGGACAGCGTGGTCCACGTGCACTTCAAGGAGGAGATCGGCATCGCCGAGCTCATCCCGCTCGTCACCACCTACATCATCCTCTTCGCCTACATCTACTTCTCCACACGTATGTTGGGGGCCTTGCAGGCTGGGGGGCCCCTGGGGCACCTCCCAGCTGCCTGCAGGGCCCCGATGAGACACTCCTGGCTGTGGCACTGCCATTCCCACCTGTCTCAGCAGCAGTGCTGCTGTTGGAACATCCCCCTGGACTGTCATGGAGACAGTTCATAGTCCTTTTTATCTGCTTTCTGCTAATTTGTCCCCTTGGCCAGTGGGGGGTTATTCCTTGTGATACACCTCCCCATCCCTGGAAGTGTCCTGGTCTGGTGGAAGGTGTCCCTGCCCGTAGCAGGGGGTTGGAACAAGATAATCCTTAAGTTCCCTTCCCACCCAAACCATTCCATGATCCTGTGATAACTTCTGAGGTGTTTTCTGTCTTAGGCAGCTTTTAAATGCCATAGGAATGACTTTTTTTTCCCAGATTATTCCATCCATTATCAGACAGGTCAGACCCCTCTGGCCACATTTCAGTTCCTTTTTTTCACCCCTCAGTGCTGGGCTGGGGTTGGTTTGAGCTGGGAACCAGCACTGTCCTGTGTCCCACCCGTGTGCTGGGAGGCTCTGGGAGGCTCTGGGAGCTGCACCTCAGGCACTGACACTGAACCCCCCTTTCCTGGGGGCTGTGGGGTCTCAGTTACCTCCTGCAGTCAGTCAGGACGAGGCTCCCTCCTCCATTTGTGTGGATGCCCTGGGCTGTTCCTGGTAACCCGTGCTGTGTTTTCCAGGGAAGATCGACATGGTGAAGTCCAAGTGGGGCCTGGCTCTGGCTGCAGTTGTGACGGTGCTCAGCTCCCTGCTCATGTCCGTGGGGCTCTGCACCCTCTTTGGCCTCACCCCCACGCTCAATGGAGGGTATGTCCAGCCCCTCTTCCCGGGGGGATGCACATGGGATCAGTGGTCGGTGGTCCTGGGGTATCAGTCACACCCTGCCGTGCACAGTCACCATCACAGCTCCCCAGGGATGGAGGGGATGTGTTTCCCTGCTGGCCAGAGCCCAGTCCTCCTGGAGGTTCCTCACTGCTGAGCTCTGTGTGCCTAAAGCAGAAGGAATTGTTGGGAGGATGTCTTGTTCATAACCTGATTTCCTGGGGCTGAGGAGGTTCTCCCACACCTCCTCCTGCCCTGGCTGCACTGTCTTTGCTTAAGGATTTCCAGCCCTTTCTCACAGCAGTCTCCTGTCCCGAGGTGCTGCCTGAGGGTGTTTTCCTGGCCCTCCCTGGCAGGGTTTAGGTTACTGTGCTGGCTGCAGGGTGTTTTCCTGGCCCTCCCTGGCAGGGTTTAGGTTACTGTGCTGCCTGCAGGGTGTTTTCCTGGCCCTCCCTGGCAGGGTTTAGGTTATTTATGCCCAAAGCACGTGCACAGCTGGGGTTGTTCCCGGAGAGCAGAGTTCCACCACCTCCCAGCTGAGAAATCCCTTCCCGTGTCTCTTCACTGCCCAGGGTGGGATCACTCAGAGCCCCCCAGGCTGGAACTTTGGCCCACGGGGTGTCCAAGCCAGGCCCTGCCCCTGCTCCTCACCTGGGAATTCCAGCTGGGAAGCTGTGTTTGCTGTGGTGCTGAGCTGGGGTTTCTCAGATGGTCCCTGTGGAGGTGGGACACGCTCCCAAACCCCTCCCTGCTGACTAATTACCCCCAAGTCCACTGCAGTGTCCCAGGTCCACCCCTCTGTTTACACCTCCTTGTACCAGGTGCTGGAGGGTGAGGGGCTCTGTCCCCACCCTGGGAAGCACCAGCACTAATGCTGTGGTGCTCCACAAGGGCCACTTCCCAGAAATTCCTGCAGCAAAAATGGGGATTAAACACAAAGCTTTTTCCCCACCCCAGCGTGACCCCGGGAGAAGGGATTGGGCTCTGGGTGGTGTCTCCTCACCTCGACTCCGGGCTGTGTTTGCTGCTTCAGCTGCCTCTTTCCTCCTTTTCCACCATGGATCTCCTCCTCAGCTCCGCTTCTGTTCCCTGCAGGGAGATCTTCCCGTACCTGGTGGTGGTGATTGGCCTGGAGAACGTGCTGGTCCTCACCAAGTCCGTGGTCTCCACGCCCGTGGACCTGGAAGTGAAGCTCCGCATCGCCCAGGGTGGGGACTCTGCTCTGGGAGACTCCAGGGAGGGAAAACCGGGGAATCCCAAGGGCTGGGAGAGGGGGAAAGGTCTAATTCTGGTCTGTGGAGGAAAACAATGTGAACTGTGCATCTTTTTGTCCCGTTTTTAATTCCGAGAAATAATATAACCCTGTCACTGTGGGCACTGCTTTTTGGGGTTGTGGACTGAAACATGGTTAAATAAGTTTAAAAAAAGATTAGTAAGGGAGAGCTGGGTCTCCTGGTGTAATATTGAGCACCTTGTCCTCGTGTCAGGGATATCCTGAGTGCAGTCCACAGGTGGTACCAAATTCTCCTGAATTGTGACAAAATTATCTTTTCCATTCTCCGAACACTCTGTGCCTGAGTGAGGATTTGAGTGTGCCCAAACCATGGATAAATGGAACTTGCAAACTTCCAAGCTCTTTCTAACCATCAGGGAGGAGAGAGCCCAGAGTGATGCCCAGAAAAATCTATCTAGTTTTAACAACAACAAAACACAAAGGTGTTTTGCATCCCAGATGGAAAACAAGCCCCAAAACCTCAGTGGGCCTTTGCACTCTGGAATTTTAGCCTGAAAGGCCCTTTGTGCCTGTTGTCTGTGGTTCTCAAGAAGGGCAATGCAGTTCCCTTTGCTGGGCTCATGTCTGGCACCAGTGAAGAGGCTCCTCTGACCTGTCCCTGCCTTTCTCCAGGGCTGAGCAACGAGAGCTGGTCCATCATGAAGAACATGGCAACGGAGCTGGGCATCATCCTCATCGGGTACTTCACCCTGGTCCCGGCCATCCAGGTGAGGTGGGGAGCAGGACAGAGGCCTGAGGCACAGAGCCATGGAACTGCTTGGCTTGGAAAAGCCTCGGAGACCACTGAGTCCAACCAATCCCTGGCAATGCCGAGGCCACCACTGACCATGTCCCCAAGTGCCACATCCTGTCCCAGTGTCCTGTTCTCCTGCCCCACTGCCCTGTTCTGCTGGCAGTGTCGTGTTCTCCTGTCCCAGCGACCTGTTCCCCTGTCCCAGTGTCCTGTTCCCCTGTCCCACTGCCCTGTTCCCACTGCCCTGTTCCCTTGTCCCAGCATCCTGTTGTCCTGTCCCAGTGTCCTGTTCTCCTGTCCCAGTGTCCTGTTCTGCTGGCAGTGTCCTGTTCTCCTGTCCCAGTGTCCTGTTCTCCTGTCCCACTGCCCTGTTCCCCTGTCCCAGTGTCCTGTTCTCCTGTCCCAGTGTCCTGTTCCCCTGT